ACTTTACCTTCTCTAAATGAACAAGTCTCGGTTCTCCTCACGGAACCGCAGAATCCTAACTTTAAGGTGTATGCTAGTATGGATGCAATTTTTGTTGGGGATTCTGCACTAGGAGATGTTACAAACCAAATTGGCTATGTGACTGATGCTAATAACGTTGTTTATGTTAACCCTAGCCACTTTTTATTTCCAAACGTTGAAGATCTGGAGAACTTTGTACCGAGTCCAATAGTCACCATGAAAGGGAACAAGATTGGGGTGAGTCCAAGCAAAGTGTGCAAATTGAATTCCAGTAAACCAGTGGCACCAACCATGCTGAGAGAAAATAAATTTGTCACTTCAAGTCACCCAAGAGAGGCCTCCAGTTCAGAACCAAATGTTGAAAGAGTTAGTATAGAGGAAAGAGAATCTCAGTTCCCAAGTGCTAAGTTGAAAGGGTCCGAAAGAGTTCCAACAAGCGCTGTTTCAGAACTTGACCAAACTGGCCTTTTAAGCGTGAAGCCTCTCAGAAAGACCAATGCAGACCCCATTCGCAGTGAACAAACGACTCCAGAAACAGTAGCCTTAGGTACAGCCAGTGACAGTAGTTTCCGTGAAATTTTGTGTCCTAGCACGAGTGATATGTTGAATTCCATAAATTTAGACAATAGTAGTTTGAGAAACTTACAAACAGAAAGTGCAGAGAAAATTGTGGAGAAAAGGGAGGTACCTGTTGTCTCAAAAGTTGCTCAATCCGAGGGTGAAGACCTGTTCTTTGCCTGTAAGAATACCATTGAAATGCCAGTCAATATCTGTGAGGGTGACGGGGAAGGGGATCAATCTCAAGATGGCTTTGCGGTGAGTGAAGACTCGTTATTGTGTGATTCATCAGAGAAATTGGAGGAAAAACCGGCTTACACTTCCGAAACTGCAAAATTGTTGTTATCTTCACTTGAAACCATAACAGGTGCTTCCTCAGAAAATAAGGACGCAAGGGACCAAATTATAACTGATTGTAAAGATTGGACAGATGAAGTAGTAAGCACACAGAGAGACAGTGTACCTGAAACGAGTGAATTAGATGTTAATTTAGAAAACAAACCTGCAGAGAGGGAAAGCATTATGTCGCCAGTAGAAAAGTCAGAAACATGTTCAGAGTTGGAAGCCATTGAAGAAGAAATGGGTGTCGATAACCAATCAGAAAGTACTATAAGTTTTGTTGATACGGAACCCACAGAGCCAAGAGACAGTGATAGAAAAGTCAATACAGTGATTCCGAGGAGAAGATCGAGAACAAGATCAGCGGATGTCACGTTAGGGCCTGTGAAACCCAGCCTTCAGAATATAGAAACCGTGAACAAAAAGCAGCAACTTAGAACAAGGGCACGACAAAAGAGTGACAGTGCTGTCTTACATGAGACCCATGAGAAAATCCAGGACTTGAGCACTTTGAAAGAGCTGCGCCTAAGTGAAATAGATGTGGAGAAAAGATTAGAACTTGCTGGTGAAAATGAGAAAACTGTGCTTGATACTGTCGAAGAAAAGGAGAGTGTGCTTAGTTCTGATACAAATGTATTAGCACAAAACCACATTGATACACCAGTTCCTGAAGCTGTGGTCCAAAGTGGAGATTTACAAGACTATCCCATGACACCCAAAGATAGTAGTACAGAAATAGTTTCTGACCTAGTTAGTGTGGAAAGTACAGTGGTTATGCCTGCTGTAGTGGAAGATCCAGTTGTAGACCAAAGTGCAAAACCAGCTTCTGTGGATACAGGTCGTAGGAAGGTTGGTCGACCTAGAAAGAAGAGAAGAGGTAAATTATTACAGTCTTTAGATGTCAAGGTATTAAAGGACAGTGTAGAAGCAGAGCCATCTGTAGTGCCTGTAAGTAGAGAAGAGGTCGAGCAAAATATCCCCGAAAATGTACAGGAGAGTAGACCAGTGAGAGAGAGGCGGCCCAGTTCTAAGTTGATTGAGAGTTTGTCTTTTGAGAGTACAAAGAAAAACAAATCTCCCAGAGCTGCCTTGGACCATCAGTCATTGACAAACCCCGATTCAGATGAATTTACGGATAAGCAGCAGGAGCAAGAGATTAGCCAGGAAGAAAGGATTTCCAGAATATCATGTGTTCCGACTCCGCTGCTTCTGGACGACAAGGACAATGAGGTATTAGACAAGGATTATGTATCCCCAGTAAGGGGTGCCGACCTCTCACCGTCAAGGGAGTGGCACGGCAGAGGAGCCAAGCTAAAGGCTCAGGTCCTCATACAAGACCAGCAAGCGGGTGTAACTGATTCTCAGATCCTTCCCTCTAGTCTCGAGACTTCACCCAATCCCAGAGGTTCCCCTGGTTCTGCTGGTCAAGACACGGTACCTAGGCTTCAACAGCCAGAGGAGTTTCTTCCCTCACACAGTTCGCCACCAAAGACTCACATTTCCAAATCTCCTATTAGTCCTAGATCTCTCAAGTCTCCAAGGTCCCCCTCGCACGATGACCGGGAGTGGCAGGCGCGAAGAGCGAAACTCAAGGCTCAGGTTATGATAAGTGACCAACAGAGTGGACTTTCAGATTTCATTGTAGATTCAGCAGAAGAAGACTCTGCAGCCCCTGAAATTGCTTCTCCACCTGTAAAGAAACTGAAGCTGGATGGTTCACCAGGTGCAACGCGAGACATCAGGAGTTTCTTCTCAGTGTGCAAGTCTCCCGAGTCTGCAACTGCAGAACAGCCCGATTCTCCCTTGCATGTGTCCCCAGCCATCCAAAGTCCGCCAGCGCCAAGGAGTCACAAGAAAAGAATTAATAGATATTCGAATAAGAAGTCTGATATTCGGTCCTTCTTCTCGGTCGACACTGCTGGCAAGAGAAAGTTGAAGTCTCCCCCACATCATTCTCCCAAAACAGTAAGAATAAGTGATGGTGTCCAGAGTAAATCGCCGAAGAGCTCGCCGAGAAAGCAGGATGTGAAGGCAGTACAAAAGCTCCACCAGACTTATGAAAAATTAGAAAAGGAAGCTTTTGATATTGCAGCTCCAGCTCTTCCAAGCAACCTCCAGAACTTTGAAGGATTCGAGAGGTGTTCTAGGCAGTCGGGTCTGAGAGCCAAATCTCTCCTAAGACTTGTGTCATTGCTGGACATGAAGAGATGGTACCATTTAGGAAAGTTCCCCCTACCTGTTGATCACCTGTGTGATTGGAATGAAGAAGTCTTAAATTCCAATATCTTTGACTGAATTTGAATTACCATTTTATTTCTGTGTTCTCGACAAGGTCTATGGACGACTGATTTTGATTGCAGTTTGTCATCTGATTATGTAAATAGAAGATATAAGTATAAGAAAACTCTATTCTGGAAGTGTATCTTACCCAAGAAGTACTTCTTTTAATATGTTATGTTAGGTGATATATTGAAAATGTTCTGTTTTCATAGTCCTTGCTATGACAGAAGAAAATATTTTCAGGAATCAGGTATTAAAGCTCTAAACTGTGACTTGAAATTGTACAAGATATTAACCTAAGTCTTCTGCTCGGTAGTGTATGTGGGATGTTCTGTGTATATTCATTATTTATTGCACATGTATGCAGTGAGGGTCTAGACTCTCCAGTAATTGAGTCGATTATAGTTGACAGAACGCGTATTTTAGTACAGGTAACTTTAAGCATTTTTTGTATGCTGCACCAAGTTCCATTTATAGATATTAATTTCTAAATATTTCATAAAAAGTGAATCAAGGTCCAGTGTTGAGGTTCTTTCCAGATGTAGTGAATCGTTGGGGGATTTTCGGGCTCTTTAGTGAGTGGTTGTAACTTGTACGATACTATGACCTATGTATAATGAGCTGGCTATCTGGGTTCAACATTGTTTTCGATGTTATTCGTTGTTATCTTTTGGATGTTTAATACACCTTTTTGTATATGTGTTCTTATCTTTCTTCTAAAAACCAAAAACAAAAACTCACAAGCTGAAATTCTTGGCGTATTTAGTTGGTGCAGATAATATTTATAATTTTTATTATTATTTTTCATTCCTGTCTCTTTCCTCTTTCCCTCTCCACCCTCTTCTCTCTCTTCTCTCCTTCCTCTTTGCATCATCTTCCCTTCTCTCCTCTCCTCTCCTCTCCTCTCTTCTCCCTGTTTTCTCCACCTCTGTGCCTGTCTCCTTTCCTCTCTCCTCTCCTCTCCCTCTTCTCTCCTGTTTTCTCTCACCTCTGTGCTGTCTCCTCTCTTCTCTCCTCCCTCCCTTTCTCTTCTCACCTCTTCCTCTCCTCTCCTCTCCTCTCCTCTCCTCTCCTCTCCTCTCCCTCCTCTCCTTCCTCTCCTCTCCTCTCCTCTCCTCTCCTCTCCTCTCCTCTCCTCTCCTCTCCTCTCCTCTCCTCTCCTCTCCTCTCCTCTCCTCTCCTCTCCTCTCTCCTCCTCCCTTCTCCTCTCCTTCTCTCTCCCCTTCTTTCTTAATTTTACATTTGATAAACTAATGGCTTTTGTACTTCATTTCACGTGTGACTCTGAATCGTCACTGAAACTGATTTTTATAGCGTTGTGGAGGCAGTTTGGTTGAAGCGAGCCAGTTCCTTGTTATGTATATCTGCATGGTCAGTACAGATGACGGTAGAGGAAGCCTTTTGTGTGTGAGTAGATGAATGACATTGTAGTAAATGGAGTAAATTACCAGTTGTTAAATTACGCAGTCCGTCTGTTGATCCATCGTCGACAGCCAAGGACTGCAGTACTTTGAAGCACTCAGTCATATTGACTTGGAATTATTGTTATTTCTTTCTTTAATTTTTTTTTATCTCTCATTTGAAGGATCTGACAGTTATCTATATGATTATATGTTAATTTTTTTTTTCCCACACTATGAGGATCAGGATTTTTGAAAGTGGTATGGAAGTCTCCAAATGACGTGTTATACCTTTTAAATCAATCCGCACTGGGCTCGATCGGGTGCAGCTTATATTTTTTCTATTAGAATTTCGCACTGGGCTGATTGAGCATTGTATTCTGACAGTTAGCCTTGTTTGGTCCAATATCCAATGATGTTGCAGATGAGATAAAAAATATTTTTGTACAGTTTGCCTTCCTCTGCCAGTGTACAGCTTAGGTGGTATAGTCCATATTATTGTTGTGAGCTTCCAAGTAAAGACATGGAAACAATTTAAATATGTTTTTTTATGTTATTCCTGTCTAAAGAATAAGTTTGTATGGTTTATGCACATATTACCGGAGATTTTTATTTGAGGTGAAGAGTTCACATGAGAAATTACTTTAAAAAGTGAAATGAAAAGTTAATTCTAGAAATTCATCCCTTGATAAAAGCATAAAAGTAAATATTGACTTCATTGAGCACTAATGGAATTGCTTGTTGAGCTTTTGAAATTGTATTTATGAAAATGTCAGATAATAAAAGATAATTGATAAAGTGATTGTGTTGAATTTATGCAAAGATGAAAGCAGGGCATTTAATTATACATTTTAATAACAAGTCTTTACAGGGTTACTTCAGTCTGAAGATTTACTGTGAAAAATTTAAATGTTTTTCATCAGAAATCGATTTCACACACCTACCATGTAAAAAATGTACATTTCACAGAATTTTGAAGCTGAAACTTTTCCCCCAAAGTGCACTCAACCCACATTGTTGAACAAGATAAAGTTTAGAGAAAATAGAAAAAAGGGGAAAAGAAAAAGATGATAGACTTGAACAAAATGAAATGTGCATTTCTTTTCCTTCTCCATCCAGACAGTACTGAAACAGGTGTGATAGGAAAGGACATGTAGTTGACTCCTTGGTAACTTAAGTATTTGTAGAGCTAACTATTTGGAAACCACATACTAAAAGGGGATATGGCATATGTAGCACGCTATCTCGGCATTGTATGTTAAACTTGAATGCACTGGATTAGTAGGTGCTAATTACTATATAAAACAAGGATTATGTGAAAGAGGGGTACAAAGGTAAGAAAAATTGCCATAAAGGTGATTATCTTTTTTTGGGGTGGGGGGGGGTTTGGGGTAAGGTGCCATTCCTGGCCTTGCTTAGATTATAATTTTTAACTAGTTATGAAACTGGTACCCTGTTATTCAGATAATTTTTCAGTGTTTGCCTTTTGTTTAAAATGTGATAATTACGGAAAAAACAAACAAAAAACAAAAAAGGAGCCATGACTACAAGAATCAGTCTTATTCTCCTAGACAAAACTGGTAGAAAAAGTCAGATTTTCTTGAAACATTTTGTGAATGCTCTCTACTTCCTGATCCATTATTTTGTAGTGAGGATCTGTTGGCCTTTACGGGAGCACCAAAATTTTAGAGGCCACAGCAATACTTTGAGGGACTTAGGTACATTTTAATGCAAAATTACATCACTAAATGTACGTTGATGGGTGCTGTGTCATGCTGGAAGGGAACGTAAAATGAATATGCGCATGTGTAGATTTGCTGGATAAAAAAATAAAAAAAAAAATGTGCCATTTCAATTTTGAAAGCATTTTTGAGTTGACTGAGGAAAGTTGATGGTTAAAAGTAAATAAATGTGCAAAACCTCGAAGATCATGTAGCACTTTGATAAAAATGAGTTGATAGGACAAAATGTGTCATGTCAAAGGTTGTAGAGCGCTATAAGTTGTATGGCAGTGAAATAGTGAAGAGATGTAAATGGAGAATGGTTAATGGTTAAAAGCGAAATAAATGTGCTAAACATGTAATGTAAATGGAGAAAGGCAGGGATTAGAGAAGGGGGAAGGAGTTCAGAGCCAAGGGTGATTAGATCAAATGGAGAGTATCCATGTGTCTGAGGAAGGAAGAAATATTGCATGAGGGACTGCAAATGAACCATTATGGGGCATTCCTCGTAACGGGGCAGAAGGGAGTGTTGAAGTATGACAACAACCCGGGGGAGTGAGGCCCGGGGGAGCGGAGAAGGGACGCTTGAGGTTACAGGAAGAATGGCAAAGGGGGAAGATGAAGGACACAGAGAGGGGAGGGAGGGAATGACAAATGTATTCGACGGAGAGAGAAAGGGTAGAGGTAGGATGGTAAGGGGTAGGGGAGAGATACTGTGGGAGATGGGGAGACATCCCAAGAAGATGGGAGAGAAGAGGAGGAATAGCTGGCGAGAGAAAAAGTCTCGTCGGCTCGCTTCCTGTCTGGCCTCGCGTAGAGTGAGGCCTGGTTTGAATCTGAGAACTGCTACCTCTCTCTCGAACTTGTAGGCAAGGATAGTTCCTGCATCGTATATTATGTGAACCACCACAGTTGTCACAACTGTGTGATTGTGCAGAACAGTTCGAACAATCATGGCCAGGATGGACACACACAGGACATCGGTAGCGCTTGGCAGTAAGACGCCAACATTCCTGACACTGAAGAAGAAGGGGTCGATGTGGGCGAACATAGCAGGATACTTCAACAATATAAACTTTATTGAGGGGTCATGTCTAGAGAAGGTAAGCTTAATAATATTTAAAGTGGCCTCTGGGAAGAATAGTGTAGCACTGTACTGATACTGCATCAACAAGGCAGGCAAGCAGATTGTTTTCACAGTCTGAGCAGTCCTTGTCATGGCCAGGGCAGTCAGTTGGGGAGATGGAAACAGTTCCGGTGCAAGTATTAAGGGAGAAACGAGTCTGTGCAGGAATAGGTTTGCCAAGGTCAATCAGATAGTGCGACTTGGAACTCGTGTAACTGTGACGAGGCGTGAACGATCGGAACGACTGCGAAAGGAACCCTAACCTTGTTTCTAGAGGCATTGCTGGAAGAGGGTACTGTCCGAGTAAAAGGCTGTAGAGGGAAGTCGTAAAGAATTGACCCCATTTGACTGGGCAAAGTAGAGTAGGTTTGTAGAGGTGAAATAGAAGAACGAACGGACAGGAGTGAGGTAGTACTGTAGATGAAGAGTCGTAATAAGCGAGAAAATGAAGAAGACTGTGCAGGAGATGGAGTAATGTTGAGAGAAAGGAAAGGATGCATTCAAGTAAATGGCCTGGTGGATGATTCGGAATGGTTCAAGCTGACTGCAGGCGCCGAGGAGGGGTTAGCAGTAGCAGTGATCAAAGAAGAGTCGGGGAACCAGTTCAGTTAGGCTAGTGGATGAAGGGACAGCCCTCAATTTTCCAATAAGTACAAAATAATTATAGGCCATGATAAGCCTGATATGTGAGGAAGAGACTAAACAATTAACCAAGGGAATACCCTGCCCATGCGCCCCTCCCCCCGAGGCCGACCAGGACTGACACGAAGCCAACCTTTCATCCTTTCAGCACGGCTCACACCCCAAGAAGTGGACAGAAGAGATTGGGAGATAAGAAGGAAAAGGAAAGGGGAGAAGAAAAGGGCGTAGTTGTGACACGAGGGATTCACGTGCGTATCTTGGAAGGAGTGGAAGGGATAGAGGGGATGGAGGGAGGGTCAATGTATGTGTAGTTGGGGCTGGGGGGATGTGCTGTGTTGGGAGGGAGTAGGAGGAAGGGTTGTAGGGGGAATATGGGTAGGAGGATGGATATCGGCAGTCACTTTTGAGTGTGGAGGGAGCGGGAGTTGAGGAATTTGAGGGTGGGTGAGGGGTTTCAGTGTCATTTTGGGACTCGAACAGATAGTTTTGAATATCTTTGAAGAGTTTTCTGAGGGAGTGGAACGTTTTTTAGTCTGCACGTGTAGTGTCTGGATTTAGTGGCAAAATAATTTGACTGGGGAAGGTACGAGGTACAAATGGGGAAGTAAGATGTAGGTATAGGGGAGGCTGTAGGAACATCTTGGGTGGGATGGGGGGGAAGGGGGAGAGACAGAGCGAGTGACATTACTAGAGTAGGGAATATGAGAGAAACCTCGTTGACGTGCTTCCTGTCTGGCTTCACGCAGAGTGAGACCAAGTCTGTATCTGAGAGTTGCCACCTCGGTTTCAAACTTACAGGTGTGGCAGCCCCTATAAAATACATTATGGGGCCGCCTCTGTTAGCACATGCGCGTGACTGCAGAGCAGTTTAATCGGTTATGGCCAGATTGGGCACATCGAAGGCATCGGGGCTGTGCAATGGCAGTTTTTGGCAGGATGTCCTAAACGCCAACAGTTTTGACATTGACGGGGAGGTTGATATGGTCGGACAGGGAGGGATTCTCCACCAATGTAGACATTGTCTACAGAAAAGTAATTTTGGCAGTGTTGGTGGGGTTCTTACGATGACCTCTACTTGTTTTTGGAGACTGCCGAAAGAGAAGAGTGTTGGCTAGGCTACATAGAGTATGAAAGATATTTGTAGAGATGGGGGTGGTAAAAGGTAGGGAACGTGTGGAAGAGGGAGTATTGTTGAGGGAGAGATGGAGAATAAGGCTATACGGTAGTAATAAGGGAGGATGGGGTGTTTGATAAAGAAGGTTGTAGGGGTAGAGGTGAAGTTGGGAGAGTAGGAATGTCTTCTGGAGATTGAGTCTCGGCTTGGGTGGGTAATGCACGAGTAGGCATTGAGTAGTAGGTAGTAGTTTCAGTGTTCAGAGTCGTGGTCAAAGGAGAGCCTGGGGTTGGGGAGCCAGGAGTGTTTGAATTGGTGGGGCTATTTGATAAAGGGGCAAGCCTTTAATGCCCCTAAAAAGGGTATAACTTCATTATCGGCCTAGTCTGTGTTGGGGAAAGAAACAGTCCGCGTAAGGGCTAGACAACTAAAATGGGAATACTGTGCCCATGGCTCCCTCAGGTCGTACAGGACTAGCAAAATCTCAGCCCTTCATCTTTTCAGCACAGCTCTCACACCAGAAGTGGATAGTAGAAGGGGTTGGAGAAGGGATGGAAAAAAAAAAAAGGCCAAATTAGTTGAGTTGAGGGCTGAGGCCCAAGGTAGGGGAGATCCCTAGCATTGGGTCCCAGTCCTCGCTTCCTAAGCCCCCTCACGACAACAATGGGCAAAAGGATTGGGGAGGAATTTCAATAAAAGCAATAGAAATATTGTGCCCAACTTATAAAACATACAAGACATGTGAACATGTTATGAAATATTAGCTGAACAAAGAATTAAAAAAGGCGGCTAATACGAGTTCTCCAGAACTCACTGTGAGCTGCCATTTAACATCTATACATCCTATAACTTTACCTTTTGGGATGAAAGACTGTTGAATTCTGGTGATCATATATCAAAATGAAATCAGAGAACCATAAAGAAAATGTATATACACACAAACATACATCCATACATATGATTATGGAGATAGAGAGAGAGAGAGACAGAGACAGACAGAGAGAGATAGAGATAGATAACGACCTAACTTCGCATACCAACATACCAATGACTACAACTTGTCAATCATATACAAAAACTGGAATGAAATGCTCCGAAGAGTGCATCTCAAGTGAGGAAGACAATGGAGGTGCTGGTGGAGGTCCCTCGGGCGATCCTACAGCATAAGATGATCACACACATACAACGTTCACTTTCCATTATCGAAGGAGAAAAAACGAAGTTGGATATACAAACACTATCATGAGTTACATTTTTAAATTTATGATTTTGTTACAGAATACAAAGACATTACTATGAATATTTTGTTTTGTATAGTGGAATCTAGTATTAATATGAATGACCAGATGGAGTGTTTATCATAGCAGACTTACAGAACAGTCTCAAAATTGAAACAGCATTCCTTTCATATGCCCGTTCCTTCACATCTAAAAGAAAAACAAGGAAAAAATGTATATTTCTCCAGCAAACTGACATTCTGATGGTGAACTTAAAAGACAAATAGATTAAAAAAATAATAATAATAACTTGATTTCAATCGAATCTAAGACATTCCCATATTCATCCGCAAAAAGGAAGAGAAGAGATCTCCTCGTACACTGCACAACCGATTATAGGTTAAATAAATAAAAAAAAAAAGTTATTTAATACTGTGTATTTTAATGCCAACTTGTTAAAGTAGAAGAACGATTGTTGCACATGTGATAAAATACACTTTATGTAACATCTGGGCTGAATGATAAATTAATAAACTCAATCAATGACTAAATTTCAGATAAAAAAAAGACAAAAAAACAACAAAAATATCAACCCATAATAAAGTAAATATAGGATCACTATCTATTTGTATACATTTACTTAGTATGACATACTTTACACGTCTTCCAAAGCCCTGGCAAGAAACACTTCACTAACAACAGAAAATGCCAACTCTTGGCTTTCACAAAACATGATTCTCACTGTATTACTCAGTTCACAATGTACACAAACAATCAAATAACAATGCTTTTGTTTTGCCAGAATTGACACAGTGGCTGACTGTTAGCAGGTCATTCATTCTGAAGAAAAGATGCATTCCTCTTAATAATCGTCCAGTTTACTATTATAGTGGAGAAGTGGTAGTGCTTGGAATTTCCAAAATAATAATCAATATAAAATCTTTCACCGTATATTATCTTTTTTTTAAAACATGGAAACCCAGTAAACACACTTACTTCACATGCTTTCAACATGTTCATCTCTCGTCTCCTCCTGCTTATCACCAACGTCTTTGTAGCAATCTATGACAGCCCTTAATGTAAAATTTATCACATTAGATATACCAGTGTATTTCTTTTACTTATATGTACAGCAGTAGTGAGGCCAGAATATACAGCACAGTGATCATAATACTAGTGGAAGGTAAATGTCTTTAACAAGGTCAAACGTATCAAGTTGGAACAGAACAAGGAGGGATCGTCAGCACTGCAGCCTCTTGCATAATTTCACAAACCCGAGACTGCGTGGCCACGTCTTTGGGTCCCTTCCTATTTATCATCATTATTATTTTTTTAAACTGGGGATTCCTTCCAAAGTAAAACAAATCACGGGTCTCAAAATCTCCAGTGCTTGCTCTGGTTTGAGGGTTGACCCAGGTGAGGCTAAGTAACTAAACAGAACAGTGGTTACAGATGGGCAAGCTAGGCACAGGCTGCTATGTGATTAATAATAGGGGTTGGTAAATGTTATATGGGAATGCAGGCTCAGGAAAGGAAGGAAATGAGGGGAAGGGAGGGAGGGGAGGAGAATGGGAATGGCTTACTCATAGAATATGCTCGGCAGGCAGTGAAGAAATAAACCGACTGGGGTCAGGATTCGCTTTTGGGGTAAGAATGGTTGGGTCGGGGGAAAGGGTTCATCATATCAAGGATGAAAACCTGGTAATCTATCACATTTTTAGCAACTGCTAGAGGGTTGAATGTTTGCTTACAAAATATCTGAAGCTGCTCAAAATATCTCTTTCATTAATATCTGTGCACATAATACATAGTGATAAATCCACTCAAACAAGACAAAATACAAAATTGAAAGAAAAAAAGAAAAAAAAAAGAAAAAAAAAGAGGAGGACATTTTCAACTACAATATGTATATCTCATTATAATATACACTATACTATGCTATAAACATGTCAAGCTTTCGGTGCCTTTCCATTAACAATTTATCTCGAGAAGCTCCAAATCATGGTCCTCTGGAGCGGTGTCCATCTTCCCCTTCGAAGAATACTTATAAACACTGTCATAACATCTTCTAGAAGATCAACATTTAAACACGCGTGCTTCAATCCAACCACAAAATTATCAGAACCTCATGTGAAGATATCAGGTGTCTCAATATGTACCACGGTTGTACTTGTGCTTGATAAGGTTCCGGTTTTCCAAGGGGTGTTCGTGAGTAACCTGGAGCTCCCACTGTGCAGATAAGTCTGGAAACTTTTCAACGTGTACTAAAAAGTCACTGGTTGGGTAATGGAAGAGCTATGACTGCTTATGCGAATCCAAAGCCCTCCGAACATTCATGGATGGCCTTCAGGAGATAGTGGCGCAGCTTGTCATATGTCTCATACACTGGCAGGTCCAATTGGTTGAAACTGTGGAGGAAAAATGTTTCAAGTTTTTTTGGAGATTGAGATACAGAGATAGTGAGAGAATAAAGGCGAGAGAGAGAAAAAAATAAAAGTGGGAGGTTGGGGGGGGGCTGAGTTTTCAATAATTTCTGACATATAGAGATTCCTTACACTATAAAAAGAACAAAAAAAAAGAACCTTTGCAAAAGCTAATTCTATCCATTCAATATTGAAACTGAAAAAAAAAGCAAGGGTAACAAACCAAGTGTGAGCAGAAGGCAGCCTGTCCGTCGATCGGTCGTCCCGATGAATCTGGAACTTCTGGGTGCCATTCATGCCTTCCAGGGCCACAAAGCCTTGTAGCGGAACTTTGCTGGTTCCCGTCACAAACTGGAGGAATTTGGCTCGTTCTGCCTGGTCAAAGGAGCGTAGTGCTCGCCAGAACCACTGAATCTGAGGCGGATCAAATAATCATAATATTGGTGAAGTTATCAAAGTTAAAATTCTTAATAGTATTTGCTTACATACTATCATTACCTTCCAATATGCACAAGATTTTGTCTGCACATTATTAAAACAGAAATTATAGTCAATAACAATAAAAAAACAAACCCACAGGAGAGACAGCCACAGCCACAGCCACAGCCACACACACACAGACACAAAAACATACCTGCAATGAGTTGGGTTGATATTTATGATATTCTGTATTCGCCCGGAGATCATCGATGTCAATGGTTGGTAGGCCGGATATGAGGAGCTCCAATTCTTGCTCGTTGAAGATTGATATGAGGCGCTTGGGAATAATGTCATAAAAGCCCTCCAGGAAGGCGTTCAGTCTGAAAAAATTCAGAGGGATGTCAAGTGATGCATCAATCTTACCGACATTCTATTCGTAAACATGCAAAGAGGGAAGTCAAATGACGTCTTAGAAGCCCCTTCCGAAAGCATTTGGTCAGTAAAAGTTTCAAGAGAGAAGTTGGATGTCCCAGATGCCCTCCAGGAAAAGCCTTAAATCTACAAGGGTTAAAAAATTAACACATCAAATGCTGTCGTAGAAGCCTCCAAGTCACGCATTTACTTTGGAAAGGTTTAAATAAAGATGTCAGAAATGCAAAATTAAATCTGCCTTCTTGAGACCTCACAGCCTATGAACATCTTGACATGACCATTACACTTTCTCAAGGCTAAATATATTTTTCTGAAGTAATATGACTAATATCACAGATGTTCACTTCAACTGAACCATTTCCCTTTGAAGCTAACTGTAAATTGATCGACATTTCATCCCACTATCTAACAGAGTTGCAATTTTCTAAAAAGATCCTGGAATCTCAATCTTTCGTCCAATCTACCTGCCTTATTTAAACTTTGTTTAACCCAATATCCCTAGGTAAAAAGTTTGGCAAGTAGACATGACCATGCCTGGCTCGTTCAGTAGTTTGCGAGCGACATTCTGCACCTAAAAGCTTTTACTTTGATATAATTTATTTTTAATATAAAAATTTTGAAGATTCACCTTCAATTTAAGTGCTATCTCCTAAAAGCTTTATCACAGAAATGAAGCCACTAATATCAGAGAAAAACAAGCATTTCCTGCCAAGCACTCACTGTTTCCTAATTGCTCCGGTCATCTTCATCTGGCAGACCAGGCGTATGTACTCCATCTTCGTCTCTTCCGTCACAGCTATATTTCTTCCATTTGGTTTGAGATCTCTTACTTCTGTCACACCAAACTCTTGTACCTGATTATCAAAATAGTGCAAGATGTTACTCTTCTGTCCATGTTCGACACAATTTGAGATCTTAAAAGATAAAAAAAGATAATAGTCTAATCTAGTGATATTCAAACTTTTGGGCATCTCCCAATTTTTCCTTCATTTACCTCTGTGCTGAACGTCAACTCGTAGCCCAAATCGGCCACATTGTGCTCCAGTAAATATATAAGCCCCTGGTAGAAGGAATAATCCTCGCTCTCCATGTCTCCCACACGGACCATTTTTCCCAGGATGTGCTTGTAGAATGACCTCGTGAAGTAGCACTCTAGGAGCTTGTTGTCATAGATGGCCTTGGCTGTAAAATAATGAAAACACCAAAATGAAGCTTACTCTCAGCAGAGGAAAATAGTTTTTCATAAAAAAAATTCATACTGTTGTTACTGTCACAAATTACTTCCCCAGCACTGCCGCCACAAGGTGGATTCTAGTTCTACCAACCAATGTGGGAAGCCAGCATTCAAGTTCACACATCTTTAAGTTCTAGAAGGGCAACCAAATGGAAAGTGCCACAGATGAATTCCTGAATTGGGGAGGGGAAGGGCACCCCGGCAATCCATAAGGAGCGTGCATTCATCATCAACTAAAGTGACTTAGGTCAATTATATAACAAAAACTATTAAATAGGGATAGGAAAAAATAAACAAAAAAAAAAAAAAGGGAGGAGAGAGAGGGAAAAGGGGGAGAGGGAGAGGGAAGGAGAGAGAGAGAGGGAGAGAGGGGAGAGAGAGGAGGGAGAGGGAGAGAGAGAGAGGAGAGAGGAGAGAGAGAGAGAGGAGAGAGGGAGAGAGAGAGAGAGAGAGAGAGAGAGAGAGAGAGAGAGAGAGAGAGAGAGAGAGAGAGAGAGAGAGAGAGAGAGAGAGAGAGAGAGAGAGAGAGAGAGAGAGAGAGAGAGAGAGAGAGAGAGAGGAGGGAGGGGGAGTGTATCTACTTACCAATAACACGTCCGACAAATTTGAAGTACGAGAGATGGTTCGAGTTACAATGAGAGGCCGGGTTGATCATGTAGGTCACGCGGTCTCCCGGGGAAGTGCAGAACAAGGCATACATGGGGTTGAAGATTTCCCGAGAGATGATCATGTACCATTCCCTCAGCAGGCCGCCAGCATCCTGGCCTTCCTCTCCTGCGAAGACAGAATGAAAGGACTTTTAAATTCTTTCCCAAAAATCAGAGAAGATCCCTTGCAAGTACTACATATCTTATGTAGACAATTTTCTCTGATCGAAGAGTAAGCATACTGCAATGGATTAGGTTAGATTTTCCTTACCTTCAAACACAATGTAAAATCTATTCTTCCACTCATCAGGGGACCGTCTATGCAGCTCTCTAAAGGAATCTTCAAAGACGTGCTCCCTGCGTACGTGCACAGCTAGATCTTCTCGGCGCATACCATCGTCAGCGCGCTCTAATTCGGTTCTGAAGTACTTGCGCTTAATATCAAAATCTAAAAGGCGAGTGTGATCCACAAGAACACTGAATGGACCGTCAGCAAGGTGAACTGTCGACTGTCTAAGAATTTGGTTGAGGACTGTGCGATGTGTCTCTGAAATGAGGAAAAATTGATTATTCATACCTTGATTAAATTTGTTTATAAATCATACAAGTAAAATATAAAAGTAACATCTGACATCCCATTTTCTCAAATTCTTATCAGTTAATATGTAAATCCCAATTTTTTACACCAGCACATACCTGCAAATTTAAGGAACTTCTCTGTATCACCAGGACTGTAATCTGACTGTGACGTGGAATTTTCTCGTTTTCTTGCACCCGCCTGACTGGATGCTCCTTCTCCATCTGCAAAATAGATCAGCCAGAAATTAACGCGACATTAGCTCCTGTGCGTATTTCAATAGTGGTGAAGTATACATAACTAGATTTAATTACAAAATTTTCATATACATCCCCCCCCCCTTTCTTTCGTGCAGAGTTAAATTTTTCCTAACCGGTTTAAGAGTAGCTGTGGGAAATCTAAAGTTACTGAGTACATTATGATATGAATTTGAAGTGAGTTTGGGAACACTTTTCTGCATAGAATAAAATATAACAAATTACTGTAAGACAGATAGTGATTTGCAGGAGGCAACCTTTCTGTGCAGACAACATATGTAGGAGAGAAAAGGAGGAGTAGGAAGGGAAGATGTAAAAAAAAAAGGGCATGCTTCCTCACCATCTGTAGGAACAGAAGGCAGTGGAGAGAGAGGAGCAATCTCATGATGCAGGTGAGCCAGCTGTGCCTCCCGTGATTCAGTCTGCGTGGTAGTCCTCTCGCGCCTGTCCCCTGAAGCCCCTGAAGCGTGGACTAAGAAGAAGGCCTCAACTGCAGGCTGCAGGACTAGCACAGCATGGGTGTCTGGGGTCTCCCCTAACTCCACTAGGCACTCGGAAAGTGTTGACCAGAGCTCGTCCAAGTTCAGCTGACTGCTTAAGCTACCAAGCTCTGTGGTTTCTGCAAAAGTAAATACATGGATATGTAAGGACTGTTTGATTCACCATGAAATATAAAGGTGGGAGGTTTGGTATCTTGTATGGAATTATGTATGCATCAAAATTATTTACAATTCAGCCAAACATTCTCTCCTTGTCACGACCTACAAATATCCACTCCACAAGTACAAAGACCTTTTAAAGTCAAAATGACAATCTGTACCACAAAACCATATCAATGAAGAAAAGAAAATAACCTCTAAATAATTATTCATGAATTCTATATCATTTGCAGTACCTGTTGTCTCATTATCGACATCCATGGCTTCAGCAGTGGGCTGCGTTGCCTCCTCCTGTGGTGTGGCTGATGCATTGGCAGCATTGTCTGCCTCTGGGTTGGGTACATCTATTGACACAGCAGGTTCAACACTTCTCTCTTGTGCCTGCTGCTGCGACTGCTGGTTCTCCTCCAGCTGGTCTCTGCTACTCGCTGTGTCTGTTCTTGATGGAGTTTCTGTGATGTCCTGGCTAGCTGCTGCATCCGACTGTTCCTGGTTGTTGCTGGCAGCTGTCTGGTCTTCTCCAGTGCCCTCTGTTGGTTCTTGATTACTTGCTGCGTCCTGGCCACCACTGGTTGGCCTTTCACTGGTGTTATTGCTCTGAGGAGCTGTAGGATTGAGAAAATCCTGATTAGTTATCCAGTTACATTGGTTAAGAAAGTCTGGAAAATTGATGATTGGAAAAAAACCCATGTTTATCAGATAAAAATGATTCACAACTTTTTCTAGTCGCTGATTAACAATATTGTATTTAAAATACTAGTGTACAAGTCTTCACAACTGACCGAAATATACATCAAGGCTATCATTACCCCAAGACACTTCCCACAAACTTATCCAAAACTCGTCTACACAGAGGGACTTACCATTTCTTCTGGTGCGTGATAATCTTATTGCATCTCTTAATTGTATGATGACCTTTAGGGTACGAAGGAAGAACGCCTGAGAGGAGGTTTTGCTTGTAAGGGCAGACATAGAAGCTAGTTGTAGTTCACACGGAGGCTTCACCTTGGTCGCCCCACTGATGATAATACATTCATTGGTGAATCTACAAAAATGAGGGTAAGAGAAAAAAAAAAAAATAAATCATTAAAATACAGAATGACACTTAGATAATACTTGCATAACTACTTAAAAATTTTATATAAAAAATAATTAACAGATAAAGCTCCTACCTGTCCTGCAACAAGCCCTTCTTGCTCTTGTCTGTGACGTGAGGCTGGTGTTCATCTTCGTGACTTGCCATCGGGTGTGAGGCGTTGTACGCTCGGAGATCAGAGAGGAGAGCCGCGATGTGTGTAGCTACAGTAGAGCCTAAGGTGGCAGCTCCTTGCAGTAGGAGACGCAACACCTGGTCCCTTGCAGGAGGGGGGCCATGCGAGAGGTGTAGGAGGAGAGCCGTGGCATCCTCCAACCCTTCTTCGGAACAGGATTTACTGGTCAGGACCTGGAATGTATTTGGAAACATGAAAAATACATTCATTTGTTATTAGACCATCAACATGTTATTGGTAGTCTTCATCAATTCATTCAGAACAAAAATGCCCAAAATTGCATTAGATCCCTTTCTTTGCTATCACTTCCACTCACCTGAATTGCTAATTTCAACAAATGTTCTAGGGTTTGAGAATTCTCGACTGAGTGCTGGGTTGTGGTGTTGGAGTTTTGCGTGGAGGCTGAATCAGCTGTTTCTGGGAGGCCTAAGGAGATGAGGGCCAGCAGCCGCAGCAGCCTGTCTGTGAGGAGCGATGACCGTCGGATGACGGGGTGGGCCAGCTGCTGTATGAGCTGCCCCAATGCCGATGCTTCCAGACTTGCCACGCGCTGTTCCTCCTCACTGTTCCCTCCCGCGCTGGAGTGGGTACGTGGCAGCCCCTTACCCTTACGCGAGACACTGATTGAGTCTAACTTTACCAGCAACTCCCAAAAGTCTGTGGGTTCACTGCTCTGACTAGAGGAGGACGAACCCTTAGAGTTCTTGCTAATAGCACCTGTGGTCATTCCACTGCTCGATTTTTTACTATCACTTTTACTGTCATCTGTTTCTTTCCCTTGGTGAGGCAAGAAGTGGCTGGGGAAGCTTTTGGCCAATGAGATCAGCGTGTCAAGCGCATGTCTGCAACAGAGGAACATTGTCAATCCTTTGATTGTTACTGACAAACTATTAAATAATTTTCTACTTATGTAAAAATGGGAAAAAATTACAATCAGACATTCTAAGTAATGAAACATATTTGTACATTAATCTATTTATCCATCTACTTAAACTGATACATTGATAATAGTTGTATGTATATAATAACAGAACTTTTATAAATCTCCCACCTACAATGACAGAAAAACAAACACAAAAGAGATATGATACAGAGACAAGAAGGAAAGAATTCCTACAGAGAAAAGGGAATCATGATGGCAAAATAAGGAAGAGGAGGAAGATGAGGAGGAAGAGAGGCAGGAGGAAGAGGAGGAGGAGAATGAACAAGGGGAAGACAAGGAAGAGGGAGAGAGGGAGGAGTGGGAAAAAAAAGAAAGGGAAAAGGGAGGAGGAGGATTGTTTACCTCCAGCCAAATATTTCCAATCCGAACAAAATCCTACCACGAGACCTACCTGCACACCAGAGGAGAAGCCTGGGGGTGAATATTAACAGCGGTTGTCAAGGATGCCACAGATGTGCGTTTGCCTGTGGGCTGTGTGCGATGGATTTGGAAGATGCTCGCCCTGCACCCTAAGGCTGCGTCCATGCTCATGCTAAGCCAGGAGGGCGCAGCTGGGGAGCGGGACTCACTGCGCCAAACAGGGGTCGAGGAGAGGGGTGCCTGGTCCCCTCTCCCGCCTGCTGTGCCCTTCTTGCCACCACACTTGCTGGCTGGTTCGGGCGTTATGGGAGGGAGGCTCGGCATGGGGAGGTCGGTGCTGGGTCCGGCAGAGCGACTACTGCTGAGAGTTGGGTCACCGCAGCGCTCCAGGATAGAGAGCAAGGCCTGGAAGAGTAAGGTGAGTTATAAAGGGTGAAAATTTTCAATACCTCTCTTTTTCTTTCTTTCTTGTGGAACTGCTGAGAAATGGATAATCAAATCTATAAAAATAAATAAATAAAAAATAATAAAAAAAATAAAAATACAGATTTCTACCTTTGTAATTAATTATCTTCCCATACACAAAAGGGATTGCATGATGCTGATGATTAAAAAAGACTTATTACAATTACCTTAATCACCCAATCCCTGGTTGGGGCATGGTGGCACAGGTAACGCAGCACGCGGTGCAGACGGCCAGTGTTCAGCTTGGGCTCGTCGACAAAGAGCAGGACCAGGAGGCAGGTCATAGCCTCGTGGTCTAGCAGCTGCCTTCCTCTTGGCTTGGTGGTCCTGAACGGAAGGGAGGAGTGGAGGTTCAGCGAAGAATGAAAAAACAAATTTGGAAAATGAAGTAACAGGAGGCTTCTGCCATTTCTGGGGTAAGAAGTATGTCTTCCTGTATCAGGCTTTCCACATGGAGTGATATTATTTGTAATAATGATTGGTGGGGGGAAAAAAAGCTCATAAAATGATAATCAAATGTCAATAATAAAAAGATGTTGATCTTCAATCACAAAACTAAATCAAAATAATGCCAAAAAACATCTAAAAGTTGCAATAAGATACTACAATTAGTATAGCCTTCAAAGCACCACTTCAATATTACTAGCAATCAGAACACCAGCAAGTACGGTACTGTAAATGGAAACAATATTCAAGCCACGTATCAAAATCCTATCCTCAAAGATCTGAATGCAAATAACAGGACATCATCTTACGTGGTGGAGGCCTGCTGCCCGCTGGACGATGGCCGCAGATTCCAGCTTGTGGACCAGCTGGAGGAGTGCATGAGGCGGGAGCCCATTCTCGCTGTATTGCGCAGGATGGATGACAATGATGCGTTGGTCCTGCTGAACATGTGCTCGTGTGCGTGACGGTTGCGCTCCTCTCGCTGCCGTCTCAGGGTCTGAGCTTCCTGGGCCAACTCAGGTGGTAAGGCAGCAAACTGTGAGTCTTCAAGGTCAGCCAATATCTGAGACAGAGACGGACAGAGACAAATCAGTGTCTGAATTTTTTATATAAACCAAATTGGAATAATATTAGCATAAATATCTAAAACCCTTTTGAAGGAACTAAAATTCTCACTCTGACAATAAATGAAAATACAAATAAAGAAAAGTTTATAAAATAAGCTAAAACCCATAGTAATTTCATAAATGGGGTTTCCACAGCACAAATTCACAAAGATCTACCCACCCCCCAAATAATAATTCCTAAAACCCTGCTCAGTTTCATCCAATCAATGTCTCACATTATGCAGTTTCCCGCCAGTAACAAAGACCTTGTTTACCGTTTGTCTGAGAGAAGGTGGGAGTGTTTGCAAGAAAGACACCGAATCTACTGGATCGTCTGGGTTGGATCTGGCTGCCTGTTGCCGTTGCTGCTCTAAGCGCTGTTGTGCCAGCACCTCCTCCTGGATATTTGGGGGCAGTGCTGCTAGGAACTCTGGATTCACCTCACCAACAGTCGTACTGTTGTTCTCCCTCGTGTTTTCTGTGGCTCTCTGTCTCACACGTTGAAGTCTGTCATGGTAGAAATGGGTGTAACTATAGTGGTAATATCCCTACAAGAATATTTTCTTTCTCTTATTTTCAATTGTACGATTACTATTACTATACATAAGTTGAGGTAAAGGAGAAAGCATGAATACAAACCTAAGCTGTTCAGCGATGACTTCTTGTCTCATCTCTTCTGGTAAGGCAGCCAAAAAGCTGGGGTCAACACCTTCAGGAATTTCAATGTCTCCGAGGATGGCAGAGTAGTCGGGCCTGTTGCTGTTTGAACCCGAGGGGCCGGCCACATTGCTCTCACTTCCCGTGCTGGAATGGGAGATAACCAACAAAGGTTATGAGTAACTTTTTTCACCAATTGTTTTCTAAATCCTAATACAGTGACAATAAGCTAAGTAAAAATACAAGTAAAAAATAAACAGGGCTTGCAGATAGGGGTAAGGTTTCTCTTCTTCTCTAATTAATGACAGCAGTCAACATTAAAAAATTTATTATTTAATTTCCAGATTGCCATGAATAAAAAAACCTAATTTTTGCATATCCATAAAATCCTTGATTATAAAAAAACATATAATATTTGCTTACAAAATTTGCTTTAAAATTGATTACAAAGACCAAAACTTCATGTTGGAATTCAGTTCCTAATATTAATTTTCTTAACAAACCATTTCTATATCATTCAGAGATATGGAGGGAGGTGAAAAAAAGTTACAGCCTATAATCTATGGTCTCTTTTGCCCCAAAAGCCCCTTTGTATGTAGTCCGTACATTATATATCTCAAATAACATAACCCAGGTTTATGAAAACCTCTCACTCATACTACACAAGAGAAGCAGTTGAGAAGTACAATACAAGGAATTGAAAATGAGTAATAAAATAACACTTACGTTGCACTCCTGCCTTCGGTGTTGCTCTCTGCTGCGGGTGGCATAGCAAGTTCTGGCGGTGCACCAGCTTGGTCCTCGGATTGATCCTGAGGGGGGTCTTGCTGCATTGTCATGGATGGGTCATACCAGTCATCCCTTGGAGTAACTTGAGGTAAAGGAGGAGTGGAGGCTGCATCCCCCGAAGAGGCAAGCAGCTCAGGGGACTGGCTGGGGTATTCCGGAGGACTAACTGACATCGGAGTCTCTTCCTGGGCAGCCAGAGCCTCTACGTTATCCTGAGATATTGGAGTGGACCCTGTCGCTGGTAATGGGGAGGCCGCTACCATTTCCGTGTCATTAACTGTGAGGGTTGATGATGTGGCCTCCACCTCCAGAGAGGAAGTGTTGGTTGGCGCTACAAGTGTCGGTGTGGAGGTAGAAGTTGCAGGGGAGGGGAATGGAGGCAGACTGCTAACAGTGGTTGTCTGAGGCGTTGCTGGGGCTGAAGGAACACCAGACGTTAGGGATCCACTAATGGCTGGGACGGAGGATACTGGGGGTTCCTGCAGAGGCAGTGTAGGTGCACCAGATGATACCGGAGAAAGCAATGTCAACAAGCCAGAGAAGCTGGGGGTAGCCGTTGTTGTCACGGGGCCAGAGGAGGTACCAAGGACAGACTCCACGATGGACTCAGCAATGGAAGCGGTACTCAAGATGGCAGCATCCTGACCAGTGGTCTCTTGGTTAGCTTGCTCCTGATCTCCTGATGCAGTCTGGTTGTTCTCAGTGGCTTCACCCATTTCAGTGTCACCTGAAAATATGGCAATCACTAAATGCTGGCTTGCCCATTAATAGACCCTCACAATTTGCATTATTAGACTACATGAAGTGACGTAAGCAATCACAACAACCTGTACACTTACCACTTTGCAGGAGCAAAAGGGGTGCTTGAGAGGTCTCTGTAGAGGCTGGCGGTGGCTTGCTGGCCTCCTGCTCCTTCTTCTTCTTGTCACGCTCGGACTGTTCTGCATCTCGGTATTTCTCCAAAACTGCCATCAGAGCAGGCTTGACCACTGTCAAGAGCAGCATTAACAATCATTATAGCCAATGCTGGAATCAACTACAGAATAAACTTCTTGAACATTCTATATCCATAATAATTTCATTAAAAACACACTAAGAAAGGGGGAGTGGATGCTTTGGTCTTCACAGATCTTGAGAAATATGAAGTGCCTGACATACCCGTAACGGCGTCATGCATGGAATCTGCTTCTAAAACCCGGGCCTCTTCTGTCCACCGTGAGAGGGCATTGGGAACGCTGGCCAGTGAAGCCGACGATCCTCCGTTATTCATCATTGTGCCGCCATGATCCTGTAACTCAAAAGGTCAATTTGCTGTTAACAACACACCTTCCTTAGCATGGGAGAAACAGCATCCTAGAGATCCAAGCCAAAAAGACTGACCTCTAAAAACGGCATGAAAGGTTTTCCTTGGCAAATAAAATTGGTAAATATGGATCAACCAAACTTGAAAAGCAGAAAACACTCACCTGCATATCAATGAACTCATCAGGATCTGGGGGCATGAGCCTTACATCAGGGTTGGTGAAGAGCACCTGCGTTGCCTCGCGCAGGTTAGAAGAGAGCTGGAGGGCATCGCGGTGGCTTGGCCCTAACAACCTGTGGGTAAATAATGCTCTTTTGTGCTACCTAATCAACTGTCAAAACTAAGACATATATATGAATTCAAAAATTCTTGAAGTTGACTTTCCTTGAAAACACATCAAAGAATGTTTACTAATATAATACTGAGTCTAGTATATGTTCTGAGAATTACAATCACCAATACAGTCAATTCACAGTAAACATGTGACAATCTATCTACATTTCTCATTTCCTTTCAAACAAATACAATTAACTATAAGGTAAAGGTTACAAATTGTATTAACCACAAGTTACCTTGAACAATAACAAATATCTAATGAGTTCAAACTTGTAAGAAAGTAAGAAAATATCTAGTTACGCGTACAGTGAAAACAACAATAGAAAAGGGATCAAATTTAGCAAAAATGATAAAAATCAACAACAAACAAGAGTGGTGATGATGTGATGAGGTTGGTGTCTGTACTCTGTATGTCGAGGTGGTGATGAGGATGGCAGTTATTAGTAAGTCAGAAGAGTAAGGAGGCAAAATTCCACACAGATGCCCCTAAGCCTTGAATGCACCGTTGCTGTTAGTACAATGCTTCATGCAAGAAATCAAGGCAGCTAGGAGAGTATTAGTTCATCATGGATAGACTACAAGAGTGTCTGTTACTGGAGTGACCGCAGAGAGTCACAGCTGCAGCCTGCTAACCAACACGAGTAATGCCGAGTAGAAACATACAATTCACAACCTCAAAATGAAATACTCACACGAGGACGCAACCAATTGCATGGATAAGGAAGAGAGAGAGACCAAGGAACCAACAGTAGCAGTG